AGTGCGCTTATACCTTGGTTCTTTTAATTTGATAGCACAAATCAAGACTTTGCCACTTCTTTTTAATGTAATTTTTTTACTGTTTCTAATTTAAAGGCTGACTAGCCTAGAAATGATGATATAATAGGAAAGACAATTATCTTGTAGAGCAGTTTTGTGTTATCTAATTAGCATTTTTTGCAGTCTCCTACTCTCCCCAAGCTCATGCTTTACATCAGCTGGTTCTTAGCCTATGTTTGGTATGAGAGAATTGGAAGGGAGGGGAAGGAAGGAAAAATTTTAATGAGTTTGATTTAAAAAAAATGAAGAAGTGAGGTCATAAAATTTTGATAAAGAGAATATGTAATATAAAAGAGCAAGAAAAATTAATTAAAAACTTTTAATGATGCCCTATATCTTCAATTTTTTGAATTGGAGGAATTAAAATTTTTCCTCCCCTCCCCTCCCTTGCATTTAAATGGATCCGAACACACACACATATATGGGAGAAGAGAAGAGAAGAGAAGAGATCCGACAGATACATTCATTCTGCAATTTCCATTTTCCCTCTAAACCAGAACCTCTTGCTCCATATCTCTCTTTCAACTCTAACCTCTCGCGTAATTCCCCCATCATCATGGCTACTTCATTCATCTGAATGGATTTGGTGATCAATCGGAGCATGAATAGCTGAGATCCTTCAATTCTCCTAGCAAAGATTCATTGTTCTGCTTTCATTTCCTCTAATCCCCTTGTAACAATGTACTAGCTCTATTTCTTAGTATAAAAACTAGTTGACTAATTTGAATACATTAAAAAAATTAGTTAAATTAATTATTTGTAATAAATAGGTTTTGTCTTTCCTAAAATACTCCTACTAATTATGTGTATTAGCTAGAACAACCATTTGATGTAATATTCACCATGTGCAATTACTACAATGGCTACTTTAGAAAAAATTGATAAATATAAGAGACAAAAAGTATCAAGGTCTTATATTTAAAATCAAATTAAATGTTAAACTAGCTTTTGTATTGAGGACTAGAGGTAGTATTTAATTAAGCCGGAGATTTGGACAATGATTTGACAGTGTTCTATCAATTGAACATTTGGATATGAATTAGAATGCTTGTAAAACAATTTTGTTTGTATGACCTGAGTTGGAGGAATAGATTTCTGATTACAAATAGATCTAATATTTGATGTTGAGTGTCACACCTCTCTTTATAACCTATTATACGTCAATTGGAACCAATATAAGTCGTTTCGTAACATTGCCGGATGACAAATTTGAAATTCAGGATTTTACTGTTCATCCTGTCCATCCACTGTTCATCTAGAAATAGGCCAATTTTGAAAATTCATAACTAAATTTAGAAAAATCAAAATAAAGTGGTTCCAATTTTCACGCGAAGCTTGCTAAGAGTTCTATGAGGAAAAATAATCATTAGTCCAATTCCATCCAAAATAATTCCAGAAAATTCATCAAAGTGTACTGTTCATTTGGTAAATTTTCGAATTTCCAGTATTTTTATCTAATTTTGAAAGGGCATAACTCTTAGCACACAATTCCAAATTTAATGAGTTACTACTTGTTTTAAAGCTAAAAATGAGATCTATTTACCTGTAAAATTTTACGTCTAAACTCTAACAGTTGCTCATTATTTTATGTGCCACAAAGTTGGCACTTTTTAGGAAATTTCTATCCCCTAATTACCATTTTCTTGATTTATTTCCCCTTTTTCCTTCAACCACATTCCTTCCACAATGCCTCAAGCATAATTCCAACATTGGAACATGGAATAACAAGATAATTTACATCAAAATGTCATCGATAACTTGTTACAAAATCCATGTAAAGTTCATTATACATTGCAAAAGTTTCTAACATATAACATAGTATCCATAAAGCCATTTCATGCTAAGGTCAATTCCTTCCCTTGATCCATACTTGGTCCACTTCCTAATTAGGGCATAAAATAACATAGGAGGAATGAGATTTCAAAGAAATCTCAGTAGCATATGAATTATAATTGTCATGTAAATCAATGCAAGTTTAACTGTGAAATGTCATGCAATCCAAACCATTTCCAACTCATAGGAATTCATACCAAGTATCATGTAAGGAGAGGAACATTATGTTATCCACATTGACATACCACAAAGCATTTGGCTAAAGCATAACCAATGTCAATCAAACAATCAAGGTCACCACAAAGTTCCTCCAATCTAAGCAACAACAATCACAACAAACAAGCAAGATAAACAATCAAGTTATAATTCAAAACTACCTTTGCAAAGCTTGTCAAATTAATTCCTCCCAAGGAGCAATGCTTCTCCTTAATTCCTCCTCTCAATACCTAGTAAACCAAGCATAAACACGGGTCATATTAATCACAAAACAACTTAGTTCTAACACTTTAACATTACTTAACAATTTTCCCCCCTTTTGTCTTTGATTTTTAACAAATTGATTCCTCCTTTAGAATCAACCATCTCATGACTCAATCCTACACAATTTTTTATGAGGAACCTAATGGTGCAATCATATTTTTAGAATTCAAACTCCTTCTCAATGAACTTGGTTTGGCCGAATAGGGGTCCTTAGTTTTTCAAAAATTCTATTTTTGATTCCAATGATTTTAAAGCCTTTCCAACAACATATCCCTATACAAAAACATGTTTTAAAGCCATTGGAATCATCAAATCAAGCAAAATCAAACTGGTTCTACATGAACAGTAGCAGAACGAAATCATCCCCCCTAAACCCTAACTTGATTTCACAAAATCAACCCATACCTCCCTTAATCTTGCTCATTCCACTTAATTATTAAGGTTTCTATCATTTTCTAAGCATCACACATCTCAACCGAATTTTTCAGAATTTTTCAGCATTTTTCCAAGCAAAAATCCTTGTTTAATCAATGTAAAACTTAGAGATATTGATGCTTGGACATACCTTAGTGTTTCCTTGAAGTAAGTTGGATGATTACTTGCCTAAAACTCCTCAAGAATTTCGTGCAAGATGCTGGATGAACATTGGCAGAGTTTCCTCTTATTTTTCCCAAATTTCTAACATTTTCTTTGTATTTTCAAGGGGTATTTATAGAAAAATTCCATCTGCCCTCTTGCCCCATGATTTGGATGAAATTAGACACCTAAGGAGGCATATGTGGAGCCATCAAGTGTAGAAAAAATTCGGATCACTCCATGTGGCATTTCTCTAGATTTTTCCACACAAATATCTCTTAATTTTGCATTTTATTTAATAAAAATGGTGGAATCTGGAAAGTGCACAAAATTGGGCCTTCAATGGATCTATTTTATGCCCCACAAATGGTTTGGGTTGGCTCAAAAATATGGCCTACAAACCAAATCACTATCCCAAATCACTTTGAAACTTTATCGGTTACTATTCACTAGTAATATTTCATAATTTTTCAGACCTCCAAAAATTCATTTCTCTCTATGATAATTCACTTTTTAATATGGGAGAATGATCTGAAAATTTTCAGAATTTTTTGCCACCTCTAGATATTTATTTTGAATTTTCTCTTATTAGGCCTTTATCAGTAAATCTAAAGGAAAATAAATTCCCTAAAATTAATTCCTGTACTTCCAAGGCTTAAAACCAATTTTATAAATTCAAACACATATTTAGATGAATTTTTCATCAATCTCCCAAATTTATTGAGACCTCTAACTCATTAAAATAATTATTTTCCTTCATTTCCCTAATAATTTCCCAAAAAACCTCTGTTTACGGAAAATTCCGTAATAATTCATTTTCACTGAAATTCCACCTTTCGAGCCTCAACCGAATTTCCAAAACCTCTACACTACACTTTTCCCATTTTTCAGGGATTTTCTGGAATTTTTTCCAAATTTTCTCATTTTGCCCTTCCTAGACTGATAATTACGAAAATGCCAGCCCAGACCTTTTCGGGGTTTCATATCAAAAGTTGTTTCATCTCCCCGTTAGTTCTTACACTGACCCTCATCCCAATTTTTGATCCTTTATTGCCAAATGAAAATTTTTGGAATGTGACATTGAGCTAGTTGTTTCATGGTTTCCTATTAGATTGAATGATTCTATGATAATGCACAGCTGTGGTTATTGACAGAAAATTCAAAATTGCTGTATTAGTGTCCTTACCAATTGAGTCTATCTAATTCTTGGATCATATTGTTGTGATGATCTCACTCGAGTAGTTGCATTGATCTCTAGATGAAGAGAATTAGACATTTGTCAATTCTATTCAGATAAGTGTAAGAAGACTGAATATAATCTTAGTTGAACTAGGAAAGTAAGGTGAATTGTTAGGGGAATGACTCATTCATAGATGAAATTTTCTGTTTCTGTGTTTGTAGTTAAGAATCATAATTCTGAATTTAATTCCTCAAATTCAAAATTAGAAAGGGAAAAAGATAAATACTTTCGTCTTGAGACATTAACTTGGTAAATCAGTGGATTAGCTAGGAACTTAAGACATTTCATAGGTTCTTTAGAGAGAATGACCAAGGTTATGTGCATCATTAAATTATATTATTAAAGATAATGAATAATATATAGTTCAATCTTCAAATTTTATCCATAAGCTTGATCGACTTGATGATATGCAACAGTATGATAAATTAAAAGTAAGCTTTACATAAGCGTGTAAGGGGATGAGTAATTTACATTTCTTTCACTTTAAAACAGAATGTTCTATTCTTCAACAATTATAACATTCGTCATGAAAAAAATACTAATTGATAAACATATTTTACACACTTTATAGTCCTCTAAATGATAGAATGTTTTGTTTTGAATCAAATTAAATATCAATAAACACCCATTTCAATCTAATTAATGAAATTATTGAAAATATCGGTCACTAAGATGTAAACTGGAATTTGTTTTAGAAATTAAAATTTAGGCGTCAGTTTGTTCTTTGCAATCAGATCCTGTGAATATGACAACTTTTTCTCAACTTTTAGCAAAATAAAACAGACAAATATCAGCAACAAGATATTAAACATATGGCTAAGTTCAAAGTTCAAATCTAGACTTTATGGAAAATCCTAACTAAAGGTTACATCTGCCTCAAAAAGCAAATATAAAGCCAAGTCTACTAGCTTTTTATTAGACTACATTATTTGCACATATTGATTCATCAAATGCTGAATCGAAATATCATTAAAAGGAATGGCTAATGGCATGTTGGAGGATAAAAACCTTTGAGACACATGCTGCATCGATGGCTGAGACTGGGGAGATGGATTCAAGCATGCTAATGCTATTGTGATCAAAAGAGTCACATCTCGTGCATCTTTTCATGATGGCTGTGGGATACGTGGGTCTAACACATCTTTTAGCCAAATACTTTCAGAATATGTCTTTGACAAAGATGATATCAAATCTCCTGGATGTTTTCCCATGATTGTTTCCATTGTCACCACTCCAAAACTATAAACATCACATTTTTCATTCACAACTAAGGTGTATGCAAGCTCTGCAATTGAGCAAAAATATAAAGAAATTATGTGATTGTACTGTCTAGAGGCAAGTAAATGTTAAAAAAGATACAACAGAAACACGAGAAGTACAAGAGAATTAGAAAAGTTGACCTGGAGCAACATAACCGTAAGTACCAACTAGAAGAGTTTGATTAGATGTATTTGGATCAATGATTCTAGCTGTGCCAAAGTCAGATAGAAATGCCTCCATCTTTGAGTTCAATAACACATTACTAGTTGTTATGTCTCGATGGATAATTACAGGGGCACATTCATGATGAAGGTAGAACAAAGAATTTGCTATTCCTTTGATGGCATTGACTCTCTTAGTCCAATCAAACTCTTTAGCTTCGTCATCATTATTCAACACATAAAAAAGGCTACCTCTTTCCATGTATTCATAGATGAGAAACATGCATTGATTATGTAAACAAAAACCATGAAGCTTTACGATATTGCGATGTCGAATTTCACTTAACATCTTCACTTCATTATCAAAACTCTTAGCAAAATATGTGTTTCCATATTCTCTTTTGTGGAGTTTTTTCAATGCTACAATTTTGCCACTAGGAAGTTGTGCTCTATAAACACTTCCATAGGCACCAGTTCCAATACAATATTTGATGTCAAAATCTTCTGTTGCTTCAATGATATCTTTATATGCAATGTTTCCATCATAATTCCATATGGAAAACAAATCCCCATTTTTTGCTTCTCTTGTCTGACTTATGGATTTCTTGTTCCTTTCGAACGATTGAAATAAAATGAAACCCATGACAAATATGATGATAAGAAAAATTGTTAAAGGAATATAGATTTTCAATAATAAAGACTTTGGAGCTGTAGAAGAATCATGAATCTCTGGACCAAGTAATTCTTCATTCCCCTCTAAAATGTCATGAGAGAAATGACTATAAACTTCACTTGGAACATAGCCGCTGAGAAGATTGTATGACAAATTGATGTAGTGTAGTCTACCAAGCTCTCTGGGTATACTACCAGATATATTATTGTAGCTCAAATCAATGCTACATTTTGATGGGGAAGCGCATATGTCATGCGGTAATATTCCATTGAATTTGTTGTGACTAAAGTTACCATGAAAATCCTGGAAATAATCATTCAACATGCGTGGCACTTTTCCACTCAGATTATTCTGGGAGATATCGAGATTAGAAAGATAATTGGTGAAATTTCCAATCTGTTCCAGTATGCTTCCACTTAACTGATTTTGAGAAACAATAAAGTAATGTAAAACTATCAAATTAAAAATCGAAGAAGGGATGGCACGTGCAATGAATGAATTGGAGTTCAAATATAAGTTCCTGAGATTTGTCATAAAACCCAAAGTTAAAAGAGAATGACTCAAACTTCATTGTTTCTACTCAAATCTAGCAAATTCTCAATAAGTTTGGCAAGAGTGAAAGGTAACACACCTATAAGGTTTTTGTTAGACAAGATCAAGTGATTGAGATTCAAATATACTAGTTTTCATAAATTTGTGAATACATTTGTGCACAAATATAAGTCTTTGATATTTGTCATAAAAGCCAATGCTAAAGGGATGTCTCCAACTAGATTATTTCTATTCTATTTTCATAAAGACAGAATGTAAGTAAGATTATTGCAATGAAGTGTAAGCTCACGATCTTTCAAAAATGAGTTAGAAAGAGACATCCTTGTCAATGGCTCATTTCAATTGTTTACTCGATTCATGTTGCACTACTACAAAAAGTAGCCTTAACAACACCCTTTTATGACGATTAAAATGAAAAAACACCATGAAAAAAAAAAGTAATGGTAATTTTGCAATTATCTAATAGTAAAAGTTACTTTTTATGGTAGTTATTTAAATAACCGTCGTGAAAAGCATGCCCTTACTGTGAAAATAATGAGGTTGATGCTTGGACTTACTGCAACTTTTAAAAAAAATGCTGTGGTAAACACTTTTAACGGCAGTTACGTAGTTAACCTTCATGAAAAATCTTTTTAATGGTAGTTTCAAAAAGTTTTTAAAATGATTTAAAATCCCTAACATCAACAATGTAACACCCTAGTTTTTTCTGACTCAGGAAAAACATAAATGAAAAAATTTATTTAAAATTATTTAGTGCCTGAATAAATTGGGGGAAAATATGGAATATGAATTTTGAAGACTTGGAAATATTTTGGAAAATTTTATTCCCCAAAAAGTGGCTTAAATAAATTTAAAGATATTTTTTAGAGCAAAATGGGTTAATTTCTTAGAAAATTTGAAGAAAAATACTTAAAGGTTTCTAATTAATTTACAAATTTCAGGGAAATTATTTTAAGTGATAATGAAGTTATTTGAAGCATAAAATCCTTAAAATGGCTTAAGGATTAATTTCTGGAGTTAATGACTTTTTTCTTAAAAAAATTCAAGAAAAATATTTAGGAGTTGACTTTTAACCTGAAATTTTTAGAGAAATTATTTCATGGATCAAAGAAACTAATGGATGAGGAAAATCCATATAAAACATTACGGATTAATTTCTGGATTCATTCTTAAATTTGAGGGGGAAAATAGAGAAAGGGTCAAACTAAAGACAAGGTGTATTGTGAAGGGCAAAATGTTCAATACAATGACCCACACCCATACCCCACGTGTTACCCTCTCCATTTAATCATCAATGATTCACTTCTTTCTCATTTTTATCTTCTGCAACGGGAAAGAAACAGGGAGAGAGTTGAGAGAAATTGTGAGAGACCGAAAGGAAAAAGGTGACCGGAGGAAGCTCATCGAAGGAGGATCTCTTACATGCAACACTTGATTATGAATAAGGTGAGTATCTTGAGCCTCTTCCCACCTTTATTTTCTTGATTGATGGCTGTATGAGGTGTTGATGTTGCTTCGAAGTTGAGTTCTGGTGAGAAAAACCCCCGGTCAAGTCTGAAACTTGATGATGATGGAAGAGCAATGTTTATTGATGATTAGGGAGTATGTTTTTAGCTTGCATGTTGATTTTCTTTTCTGGTTTTTGCTCTGCTCTGGGTTGGCTGAAACAGGGGTCTAAATGAATCAAGGAAATAGCAATTGATTTGGATGTTGATTGAGGAGAAAATATGACACACACACACACTCTCTTGTAATATGGTTGCATGTCACTTTCTTCTTCAATCTTGTGCATCTTGTGACTGGTTTGTGAAGAGACTTTGTTGCAAAATTTAGATTGGTTGAACAGGGAGGTCATCGGGTTCAATGGAACAGAAAGTTTTATATATATATATATATATATATATATATATAGACATACACATGTGCGAACCATTATGTGTGTAGGTACATGTGTTGCAAAATAGACGAGTAGTTTTGGTTTTTGAACTTGGGAAGAATTAAGGGAATTATTTTGTGCAGATTGAAGGGATAAACGAATAAAAAGGAATGTGATATTGGGTACTGTTATGCTCAATTTTTTGAAAAAACAAAATGGGAGGAAATGCCCTTGCTTTAGTTACATACCCGTAGATATGTGTTACTGTTAATGGTTTAAAGACGTTTATTGGTTTTAAATGGGTTGAATTGGAAAAAAATGTTCAAAGAGGTTTAGGATCGGAGCTTAACCAAAATGAATGAGGATATGTTTAGATTGACTAATTGTGTTGACCGAAAAGTTGAGGAGGGTTAGATGATTTAAATCTGGGTTTGCTTTTCGGTATATACATATGTATTTATATACAGGTATTTGTGTGTAATATTTGGTTATAGGACAATGTGAATAGAGATGCTTGAAGCCTGGGGCGTTGAAATTTTGAAGAGAGTTAAAATATTCAAAGAGACATTATATAAGTATATTGAGTTTGACGTGAACCTTATGGATGGGAAAGAAAAGAAAGTATAAGACCTTTCAAAAGTTATAATATAAATATAAAAATATTATCCAGGATGACCAACTATTAAATAAAAAGGATAGAGTTCATTAATAGGTCAAGAGCAGTTATATTTTGGATAATAAAAGCTAAATGAACTAAACATTGACCCATTTATATATGGAACTATGTTATAGGATTTGATATTTGCCTGAGCCCACCAAGAAAGCCAGTAAAGAAGAAATCTAGACAAGGTAATCCAGAAGAAGGGACTCTAGGTAGTGACTTTTCTCTCTTATATACTTATGTAATAGTTTTGCATGTCTGTTTGTATCACAGTGCCTATATTCTTTAATAAATATATGATGGATGCGTTCTATGATGAATGATTGTGAACTCATAGAGCTATACTCATGTATGAGTTTGTGGAACCTGCTTTGCATTGAGCTCGTAGAGCTATAGTTAAATATGAGCATGTGAAATTTGCTTTGTGTTGAGTCATAGAGCTGTACTCAAGTATGAGTATGTGGAATTTGCCTTGCATTGAGCTCGTAGAGCTGTACTCAATTATCAGTATGTGATGTTGATTTAATTGCCACAACCATGTGCGTTGCAAAGCGTGAGATGCATAAGCATCATTGATTATATCTGTTTGCAAAGCGTGAGATGCATGAGCATCATTGCTTATATCTGTTTGCAAAGCGTGAGATGCATGGGCATTGTTGATATATCTATTTGCAAAGCTTATGATGTTAAGCATTGATGTTTATACTTGGATGTAAGTGCTGTTAATATGGCTTGTTTTGCATGCATTTATGAGTTTTGTATAATTGTATGATGGACTTCTATCACTATTGAGATTTGTAGAATCTCACCTTGTTTATCTATGACATACAGCAAAGGTTAGTGGCTCAAAAGGCAAGAGCATGATGTTTGCTGAGAATTAAGAAGAATGGGAAGCTGGAGAAGTTAATTTGTTGGTGATCAAGTTTATTTTTGGATGTTCTAGTTAAATGTTGTTAGTGATGTATGGCTATGCTTCTGTATATAATTATATGAAGTCAAATATTAATAGTTTAGTACAAGTAGCTCAATGATATTTGAGCTAGGGAATCAATTGGATGTTTGAACAACTAAATAGGACATTTTGCAAATTATTTCAAAAATTTAAACTCTTTTTTCAAAAAAATCTCATTCCTCATACAAGATCTACTCTTGTGTTTGGGAGAAGTTCTAATAATGGATTTAAGAAAAATATTCTTTTCTCCCAGGATCAAACTGGGCTTAGTGGTTCAATGGCTGATTAATTAACCTTTATGGTATAGTTAAAGTAGGTGTTATAAATGACAGGTTCTAACTTTTCACAGCAACAATTCATAGTCCCCTATTGTCATCCCCACTCCAATTTCTTTCTCCTCCCACCTTTGCCACCATTTCCCCTTGTCTTTGTTATCTCTGTCGTGTTCTTCTATTGTCACTGTCATCGCCTCCTCTTCTTTATCCTCATTTGGAGTTTTTTACCCTTTCTCCTCTGTTCTTTCCATCAATTTCATACTTTTAGTGTTTTGGTTTTATTGAATCATTGTGGGTAGTGCTTTCTTTGATTAAAACATGACTTTGACATTGTATTATCTAGCTTTGGTGATTAATCACATGTGTATTCTTTTTGTGAGAATTTGGAGCATGTTGGATTGGAGATTGGAATGCTTTGATTGTTACATGCATGAAATACATTAATTACTTGCTTTCCATGGGATGAGATGCATGTTGAAGCTTTTATAGTTAATTATTTTTTAAGTTTGTCATTTTTTTCCTTGAATTTTCAAATATTTATGTTGAATTTTTGATATATTTTTATTATTAATTTGTTGAATATTTGGCCAAAATTTCTTTTGTAAGCAATTTTGATTTGTGTGAAATTTCATGGCAAACGTATATTATTTGGGTTCCCGTTTTGAATTTAGAAGTTTTATGCAAAAAAAAAAAGTTCCATTTGCTGGCTTAAAATTGTTGTTGTTTTGTTGGTTATAATTATTGAGATTTGCCTCTTTTATTAGTTAGTTGATTTGAACATTATTGGTTACTTGGAGATAGTGGGAAATATGAACCCAATGAAATCAACTCAGTGAGGGATGGTTTGTGACGAATATTAGTGAAGATTATGGGTTGATAAACATTTAGTGGAGTTGAAGTTCAAAATTTTGGCATTCATAGTTGAATATAGGGTTTTCAGTTGATTGTTTATTAGGTTTAGTTGAACTATAGATTGGTTATATTGTTGATTATTAGGTTTAGTTGAATTAGGATTTGAAACTTTAATTATCTTAGTATTAGATTTTAGTTTCAGTATTGAATTCATTGAATTTTAGTTGAATTTAAATTTATTGGTAATTATGTTTTAGCTTTGAATTGGTTTTGCATTATTTTGGTATGTGTTTGTTTGCTAGAATTTGTCTGCTTTGGTTTGGTATTACAAGGAGGTTATATGCAAATTAAAACAAATTTATATAGAAAAATTTTAACTTTCTACAACAATTAATAAAATAATCGCAATGGAAATTGAGCTCTTTAACGCTGTTTATTGAGACCTTTTCATAGTGATTATTTTCTAAGAAATGGTGTGAAATTTTCAACTTTTTATGTCGACAGTAATTACTTCACCTCTAAAATTGCTATTAAAAATCCTTTTTAACCGTTGTAAAAGATGTTTTCTGTAGTAGCGTTGGTGCAGGGTATTTTGTTTATTTCTACTAGTTATTGAGGGCTAACATATCAAAATTATGCTAATCACTCCATGTCATTTAACAGATTTGGAGATAATAATTTTCGTTTGAGACAAAGTTTTGCCAACACTTCCTGGTTTGTTAATGCCTATTACAATAATAAATTAAATTGGTAGAAGAACAACTTTGCTTGAAAAGTTTAATAGACAGTGTATATTTACATTACAATTAACTTATATTTGTAGCTAAACATAAATTTATCTGAATTTTCTTCTTACAAAACTGCTTAACTGGACCTCACATGTTACCCAGCCATGTGTTTTCATACTCATCTACATCATACTAATGCTATGGGAATGATGAGAGTGGGATAGGAGTTATTCGATCCATGCCAATATAATTTCCTTTATTCCTTTCGTCAACGAAAAGTATATAGGGTTGAATAATTGTGGGGTAGGAAGGTGGTGGCCTAGGGAACAATGAAAGAATATGCTTATTAGTTCTGGACAGAAGTGTGGCATCATGTCTATGAGGTATCCTTATTCATCTACTCTAAGTTTTTTTATTGAACTTTTTAGGAATATGAACTAATTAGCATTGCTTGTGTCTTATAACATCTACTTCAACTTTTGTTTATTGAATTTTCTAGGAAGATGAACTAATTAGCATTGCTTGTGTCTTATAACAATTTTACTGGCCAGTTGAACTGCAAATGTGTTGTAGGTTGAGTATATATTTATTCTTTTAATTTTATGTAAGGTTTTAGTTTGGTCTCCTAACTTTAAAAAGTACACTTTTAGTCATTTAACCATAAAATTATTAGTCTTAAATGATCATAAAATTATTAGTCTTAAATGATGATTTTTTGTAACAATCATAATTATTTTGAAAATTAAACTTAATATTATAGCATTTATTAATGTTTTATCAATGTTCAAGAGTTTAATATCATCATTTTTTGTTAATGATTCTAGGATTAGAAGACTAAAAGTTTACTTTTTAAAATTAAGGAACCAAAATGAAACTTTATACAAAGTTAAAGAATCAAAAGTATACTTTAGTCTATTTAAAATCTAAATTGAGATGTGAAAGTAGAAGGTACATAACTCAACGGTAATATTGTTGTAAGATAAGTTTAGATAAGTGAGATTTGGAAGAGCTCCAATTTGAGTTGGAATGGTACCTCTTGAAGCCAATCATTTGAGTTGTAAATATATTGGAACTTATTTCTTATAGAGAGAAAATCAAGGGTTAATTTGTTCTATAACATTATAGAGGCAAATAAAACTCTAAATTGAGCAAATTTGAAAGATGAGAGTGAAAGGTGCTTAACTCACCAATAAGGTTGTTGTTAGACAAGTCCAGAGAGATAAGACCATGTAGAGCTCCAATTTCAGTTGGAATGGTACCTACGAAACCAGTCATTTGAGTTGTAAATGCATTGGAGCCCATTTCTTATCAAAGAAAAATAGAGGGTTAATTTGCTCTATCAAGTTATAAAACCAAATAAAACTCTAAATTGAGCAAATTTGAAAGATGAGAGTGAAAGGTGCTTAACTCACCAATAAGGTTGTTGTTAGACAAGTTCAGAAAGATAAGACCATGTAGAGCTCCAATTTCAGTTGGAATGGTACCTACGAAGCCAGTCATTTGAGTTGTAAATGCATTGGAGCTCATTTCTTATCAAAGAAAAATAAAGGGTTAATTTGCTCTATCAAGTTATAAAGCCAAATAAAACTCTAAATTGAGCAAATTTGCAAGATGATAGTGAAAGGTGTATAACTCACCAATAAGATTGTTGTTAGACAAGTCCAAGTTGATAAGATTATGAAGAGCTCTAATTTCAGCTGGAATGGTACCTGTCGAAGCCAATCATTTGAGTTGTAAATATGTTGGAGCTTACTTCTTATCAAATAAAATTAAAGGGTTAATTTGCTCTATTAAGTTGTAGAGGTAAATGAAACTCTAAATCGAGCAAATTTGCAAGATAAGAGTAAAAGGTGCCTAACCCACCAATAAGATTGTTGTTAGACAAGACCAAATTGGTAAGATTATGAAGAGCTCCAATTTGAGTTGGAATGGTACCTGTCAAAGTCAATAATGTGTTGCAAATGTATTGTAGTTTATTTCTTATCAAATAAAGGAATTGTAGAACAATCGTGGATCCCCTCTTTTCCAACCATTTCTGCGTTACCATTAGAAATATAGTGTGGAAAAGAGCTAGAAATTTCATTGCGATATTGCCACTGAGAAAATTGTATCGCAAGCTGATGTATGTATTGCAGCTTTAATTTCCTCGTTTTCTAAGATCCTATTTGAATTGGAATCTTACCTATCGATCCTATTTCTCTAATATCCAATCCTGTAAGATTGGTAAATGCAGTGAAGTTGAGATGTGCTAGCTAAGGCTGGCTTGAAAAATGGGTCCACAGATGGGTGTTATCCAAATAACACTTCCATTATTATCATTGCCATGTATATGGCATCCCATTCATCACAGTTGTCTGCTGAAGAGTTGTAGCTATTCCACCAGTTGATTAGAGGGAGGACTATATATTTTGGTTGGTGCCTTTAATTTGATATCACAAACTCAGACAACTTTACGCGCGACTTCTTTTTCTACGCTCTAAACACCCTTTTATAAGCCATCGTCAGTGTCAAAATTGCAGTATGCCTCACGACAAATGGACGTGCCCATAGCGTGTGTGATGGGAAGAGGAGATTTCATTGATTTTTTTTTTTTTTTGACAAAACCATGTCGGGTAATTTTTTAAATATTAAAAATTTCAATCAGTTTTATCTAAATTTTTAAATTTATACAATGCTGTTAATAAAGCCTTATAAAATGAATCAAATGAAGCAATACATACCAGAGAATTAATGGGCAGATACAATGAACTAGAGCCGGGAAAACGGGCCGAGCCCGTCGGGCCGGCCCTTTTAGGCCCTGAAATTGTGAGGGTCGGGCTTGATATTTTTCTCTTAAAATGAGAAATAAGCCCTGGAGGGCCAAGGGCTTAAAAGGGCCGGCCCTGGAGGGCCGCGGGCCGGCCCTTTTAAGCCCTTTTATAATTTTTTTTATTTTTTTATATAATATTAATGCTATTAGTTTTTTATATTGTTAATAATATTTCAAATATTTAGTTATTATAATCATTTTAAAATTAAATTTAGTTTTAGACAATAATTTATCCAATTAAATTTTTAAAAAATAGGTTAATTTGGACTTTAATAATAATTTGATTTATATTATATGCGTTGATATTTTTAAACTATATATATATTTGATAATAGAATATTTTTATACTTATATAACTTGTGATTTTATAATTTGAATTAGAAATTCATGAGTTTCAACAACAATGTTTTTCACATTAAAGTAAAATAATTGTTATATTGCAAAATTTAAAAATAAAATTCTTATAAAGAAGAAAAACTAGATATTTTTGTTACGAAAGAAAAGCATACTTATGAAGAAAAGTAATTAATTATAGTGATGATGAAATTTCAAAAAATTAATGATAGTGTTTATTTATTGCACAATTGCATTATAGATAAAACTTTTAGATGTTGTTATCTTGTTAATGAATGTTTTAAATGTTCTTAGATGTTGATGAATATTTATATATGATGATATTTTATATTTGTGACTTAATTTTCTTCATAGTTATGTCTTTTATTAATAATTTCATTGGTTTATTTTTATATTTTTATAAAAAAACATGATAAATATAAAAAATAGTATTTTTTTTAAACGGGCCAAAAGCCCGCGGGCCGGCCCTGGCCCTGTAGCTTAAGGGCCGGGCTTAGCAAATTAGGGTATTTTTAAAATTTCAGCCCTGGAGGGCCGGCCCTTTTAAGCCCGCCAGCCCTGAAAGGCCAGCCCTGGAGGGCCGGGCCAGCCCTGATTCCTAGCTCTACAATGAACCCCTTACAAAGGGGATCCAGTTTGGGAATGTGAACTGTTCAAATGATAAAATTGAATGATCTAGATTTAATATAATTTTATTTTTACATTTTAAATGATTTTATACTTCTATCTGTGCAAAAATTTAAAATACAAATAAGTTATTTCTTATCAAGGCAAACATACAGACGTAAATACAAATTTAAATTGAGCAAATTTATAAGATGAGAGTGAAAGATGCATAACCCACCAATAAGGTTGTTGCTAAACAAGCCCAAAATGATAAGACTACGAAGAGCTCCAATTTGAGTGGGAATGGTACCTGCGAAACCAGTCATTTGAGTTGTAAATGCATTAGAGCTCATTTATTATCAAAGAAAAATAGAGGGTTAATTTGCTCTAGCAAGTTATAAAGCCAAATAAAACTCTAAATTGAGCAAATTTGCAAGATGAGAGTAAAAGGTGCATAACTGACCAGTAAGATTGTTGCCAAATAAGTACAAATCGATAAGATTATGAAGAGCTCCAATTCGAGTGGGAATGGTACCTGTCGAAGCCAGTCATTTGAGCTGTAAATGTGTTGGAGCTTACTTCTTATCAAATAAAAATTGAGGGTTAATTTGCTCTATTAAGTCATAGAGGTAAATAAAACTCTAAATTGAGCAAATTTGCAAGATAAGAGTAAAAGGTGCCTAACCCACCAATAAGACTGTTGTAATACAAGTACAAACCGGTAAGATTATGAAGAGCTCCAATTTGAGTTGGAATGGTACCTGTCAAAGTCAATAATTTGAGTTGCAAATGTGTTGTAGTTTATTTCTTATCAAATAAAGGAATTGTAGAACAATCGTGGATCCCCTCTTTTCCAACCATTTCTGCGTTACCATTAGAAATGTAGTGTGGAAAAGAGCTAGAAACTTCATTGCAATATTGCCACTGAGAAAATTGCATCGCAGGCTGATGTATCTGTTGCTGCTTTAATTTCCTTGTTTTCTAAGATCCTATTGAATTGGAATCATACCTATCAATCCTATTTCTCTAAGATCCAATTCTGTAAGATTGGTAAATGCAGTGAAGTTGAGATCTGCTAGCCAAGGCTGGCTTGAAAAATGGGTCCACAAATGGGTGTTATCCAAATAACACTTCCATTATTATTATTGCCATGTATATGGCATCCCATTCATCACAGTGGTCGGCTGAAGAGTTGTAGCTCCTACACCAGTTGATCAGAGGGAGGACTATATATTTTGGTTGGTGCTTTTAATTTGATATCACAAAACTCAGACAACTTTACAGCTTCTTTTTCTACGTTCTAAACACTCTTTTTTAAGCCATCGTCATTGTCAAAATTGCAGTATGCCTCACGACAATTGGACGTAGCCATAACGTGTGTGATGAGAAGAGGAGATTTCATTGATTTTTTTTTTTTGACAAAACCATGTCGGGTAATTTTTTAAATATTAAAAATTTCAATCAGTTTTATCTAAATTTTTAAATTTATACAATGCTGTTAATAAAGCCTTATAAAATGAATCAAATGAAGCAATACATACCAGAGAATTAATGGGCAGATACAATGAACCCCTTACAAAGGGGATCCAGTTTGGGAATGTGGACTGTTCAAATGATAAAATTGAATGATCTAGATTTAATATAATTTTATTTTTACATTTTAAATGATTTTATACTTCTATCTGTGCAAAAATTTAAAATACAAATAAGTTATTTCTTATCAAGGCAAACATACAGACGTAAATACAAATTTAAATTGAACAAATTTATAAGATGAGAGTGAAAGGTGCATAATCCACCAATAAGGTTGTTGCTAGACAAGTCCAAAATGATAAGACTACGAAGAGCTCCAATTTGAGTGGGAATGGTACCTGTCGAAGCCACTCATTTAAGTTGTAAATGTATTGGAGCTTATTTCTTATCAAATAAAAAATAGAGGGTTAATTTGCTCTAGCAAGTTATAAAACCAAATAAAACTCTAAATTGAGCCAATTTGCAAGATGATAGTGACAGGTGCATAACTGACCAGTAAGATTGTTGTTAGACAAGTCCAAAGTGAAAAGATTATGAAGAGCTCCAATTTGAGTGGGAATGGTATCTGTCGAAGCCAGTCATTTGAGCTAGAAATGTGTTGGAGCTTACTTTTTATCAAATAAAAATTGAGGGTTAATTTGCTCTATTAAGTTGTAGAGGCAAATAAAACTCTAAATTGAGCAAATTTGCAAGATAAGAGTAAAATGTGCCTAACCCACCAATAAGATTGTTGTTAGACAAGTCCAAACCGGTAAGATTATGAAGAGCTCCAATTTGAGTTGGAATGATACCTGTCAAAGTCAATAATTTGAGTTGCAAATGTGTTGTAGTTTATTTCTTATCAAATAAAGGAATTGTAGAACAATCGTGGATCCCCTCTTTTCCAACCATTTCTGCGTTACCATTAGAAATGTAGTGTGGAAAAGAGCTAGAAACTTCATTGCAATATTGCCACTGAGAAAATTGCATCGCAGGCTGATGTATGTATTGCAGCTTTAATTTCCTTGTTTTCTAATATCCTATTTGAATTGGAATCATACCTATCAATCCTATTTCTCTAAGATCCAATTCTGTAAGATTGTTAAATGCAGTGAAGTTGAGATGTGCTAGCTAAGGCTGGCTTGAAAAATGGGTCCACAGATGGGTGTTATCCAAATAACACTTCCATTATTATCATTGCCATGTATATGGCATCCCATTCATCACAGTGGTCGGCTGAAGAGTTGTAGCTATTCCACCAGTTGAAGAGGGAGGACTCTATATTTTGGTTGGTGCTTTTAATTTGACATCACAAAATTCAGACAACTTTACGACTTCTTTTTCTACGTTCTAAACACCCTTTTATAAGCCATCGCCAGTGCCAAAGTTGCAGTATGCCTCACGACAAATGGACGTAACCATAACGTGTGTGATGGGAAGAGGAGATTTCATTGATTTTTTTTTTTTTTAAACAAAACGATGTCGGGTAATTTTTTAAATATTAAAAATTTCAATCAATTTTAACTAAATTTTTAAATTTATACAATGTTGTTAATAAAGCCTCATAAAATGAAATCAAATGAAGCAATACATACTAGAGAATTAATGTGCAGATACAGCGAAACCTTTACAAAAGGGATTCAGTTTGGGAATGTGGACTATTCAAATGATAAAATTGAACGATCTAGATTTAATATGATTTTATTTTTATTTTTTAAATAATTTTATATTTCTATCTGTGCAAAAATTTAAAATACATATAATATCTTAATTGTTCACGTTTTCAAGAAAATAAATTTTTACGTACTTAAAAATCATTGGTTAAAAAATTATAAATTTAAATCGTTGAACTACAATTTCACATAATATCATTGTAGTGATGAGCATAATGGTGCTCATCCCTGCAATAAGCACTTAAACTGGTTCCTATTACAAGTGTCCCGATAAAAGTTGTGAGCAAACATTTGGAACATCCAAAACCCAATAACTTAGCTGCAAAAAATTAGTTTGGTTTTCAGTCTCTTCTATCCTCTTCTTTTGTATTTTTCTGAAATTGCACAAAAAGGAAGTGATAGATCATCAATATTTTAAAAACCGGATAACCAAAGTTCACAGACATAGTTCTCCTAATCCAACTGTGATGCATAAAAGGTTAGCGGCAGAAGCTAGAATAAATGGTAACTTGCCAGTATGTGAGTGAGTTTTGGTAAGAGTAAATGTTAATTAATTTACTAGCAAGATTGTTTTGAAATAAATAATGGTAAGATTTTGAAGTGCTCCTATCAGTGTTTGAATGGTACTTGTCAATAGATGTATTAGATTGTGCAGAGGTAAATATGACATTTTTAAATTGAGTGAGTTTTGCAAGGTAAGAATGAAAGTAGAAGCTATATAACTCACCTGTAAGATTATTATGAGACAAGTTCAGAAGCTTGAGGTTATGAAGAGTAGCTATCTGAGTTGGAATAGCGCCTATCAAACCCATTTCATGAAGATCCAAATGTTGTAGGTTGGGAAATGCAGTGAGATTGAGATCTGCTAGCCGACAGTGCTTTGAAGGGATTATTGGCCGCCTCATCTCAGTAACGCTTCCAAAGTCATTGCAATATATACCTTCCCAGTGACAAGGGTCGTCCGAGAAGTGATCGCTAAAATCCCACCATTTGATTTGAAGCAGAGCTCGTTTCTCCACTTCTATCATATTAATCTGCTGGGAGAAAGCCATAGCAAAGCATAGTAACAATACCAATATCATCACACCCATCTTCCTTTAATTATGTTTGCACAAAGTGGTGATCACACAATAATGAATGCACCCATCATAGAGTCTTTATATAGACAAAAGCTTAACTACCATGGCTCTGGAAGTATGTTGTTTCCACGTCAATGTCGTCCAATGACACCATAATAAAGACAAAGAAAACCGGTGGCAAAATAAACAAATAAAGACAACGAAAACGAGTTGCACATACGCGGGATGAAATTATCATTATATTCTCAACCGCCCAAGTCAATATTAAAGTCTTCCTCACCTGTACTCACCTGTCGGTTTACTTATTACGTGCATATAGATAAAGAAAAATAAAGAAGCAAACTGAAAGTTAACTCATAAATTTACTTTAAAAATAATAATAATAATACTTTCCGGCATTGTTCTTATTAAATTTAAAGATATCGATGCTTTACATTTCCAAGGGACTGCATGTTTTCAAGCAAGAATAAATTGGGAAGAAAAAAAAAGAACAGTTGATATCCTAAATGAGATTATATTTTGGGATTGGAAAGATTAAAGAATAAAAATAATATTTTGAGTCCCTGGACCATATGAGATAAACAAAACACAATCATTAATTTTTTTATGATATTTATCATTCAAGATTTACATGTGCGGGTTAAGAGAGCTTAAATAACTTAGATTAGAATAAAATTTAACATTACTATTTAATTGAGATACTATTAATTAGTTGGAAAAAAGAGGAAAATATACTACTAATTAATAAAAAGATAAAAATACATTTTTTATCTTTTAAGTATTTTTTTTCAGTCTCATAACCCTAACACAATCAACCTTAAATGATTTTTTGTGGCAACCATTGTTGTTCTTCAAAATTAAACGTGATACATGAGCATGTGATAACGTGTTTTCAAAATAAAATTTTAAGTAAATGTAAAGGATCAGAGATGCAAGTTTGCCTAATAAATACAGCATTTGAAATAATTCAAATTGTAATTGCTGTTATTTAAAATTATAGAACGACAATTAATACAACTATTCATCATCATTAGTTAATGAAAGATTGAAAGTGATCAAAAATTAGCATGAAAACCGATTTAGGAAGGTTGTTATTCGAATGAGGAAAGCTGAGCGAGTTTATTTCTCATAATAAAAAATAGCAGCAAAAAGAAACAAACGTGTTTGTGCTTTTTTTCTTTGACGATGTTTGGTTTATCTAAAAAATATTTTTACATAAGTTAATATAAAACTCTTCTCACTTGCTTATTTCATATATATCATAAAATTACTATTAAAATTATGATTTGGTTTTTATTCATATAATTTTATCAGTCAATGTCGTGGGCTCATTCGCATGGCGTTTCAATCTATTATCTACTTTGCTACTTTTTGTTTATCTATTTTGCTGCCTTTTGTTTTGATAGCAAAAACTACCCAATTTCACTCCTTTTTTCTAGCTTTGTGAGTTCCCTTTTTATAAGGCACCGTTGACGTCAAAGTCGCTGGAGCATGCGTACGCCTCCTCAAGACAAAATGGACAAAACTATAACGTGCGCGATGAGAAGAAGACTTGATTTCATTGATATTTTTATTTATTTATTTTTTGAATAAAAATTCTTTGAGATAATTTTAAAATTTTAAAATCTTCAAGTAATTCTAAGCAATTTTTTTATTAAAACCGTTTGCCACATAATTGTTTTAACACTATTACGCCATATCAGCATAGTTAATTGTCAGCCAAAGGAGTTTAAACTAAGAGGATACAAATCCTAAAGATAAACTCTAATGACCTTAATTAAGTTTGCGGAATTTAATTGAAACAGGAGTAGTTTTCCGTTCTTTTGTCATTTTTAACCCTTGTTGTTAATAAAGTCTTATAAAACAGAATGGGCCATCGAAAGCCCAATAACTCAGCCACCAAATTAGCTTAATATTTAGTTTTAGTGTTAGGTTGGAATGGTGATGGGATCATTCAAAAACAGTATTTTTTATCATGATTTACGGAAGTAAGTGTGCAAAGATAGTTTTATCTCGACTTATATAAAAGTACTTATAAGAACTTAATATAAATAACTCTAAAGAAGACATTAGTCTACTCTTCGGTTCATTTCTTCTCCTCCTATTTTGCATTTTTCTAATTTCCTGTTTTTTTTTTAATTTTTAATGCGGTTTTGGTTTTCACCAAAAAACCTTCCGTGATGATCGGCAAAACTAGAGCTTGTTTTTGTTGTTATTGTTGGAGCCGCTGCGTCCTCCTCCTCCAAAATCCTTCATAATCATATTACACACATGCATATTTATGTGCCTAAAGTGTCAAATGTGTTGCAATTTGGCAATCTCCATGCCATTGGAGTATGACATATTTCTTAATGAGTTATGCACACGTTTATTGAATTGTTATTGAGTTTTTATTTGATGCTTCTACGTACAGATGCCATAGAATGCCCGAAAGGTTGGAGAAATTAAATACTAACAACCTCTTATCTTATTAAGGAGAGCATTAAATACTAATGTATTATCTCTGACATGTTCCTTCTCTTTTTACCTTTATTATAATTAATAAGAGCAAAATTAGAAATGAAGTATTAAAAAGGTCTAAGCGATAAATTTAAGGGGGAAAAAGAAAAAATTTCAGAAAAAGAACCTTGGAATTATCATTTTCCAATTTAGACACTTAAGAATGGAAAATAATAGAAAAAGAAGTAATGCATGATCTAATATTTTGTAAATGTAGTTAAATGAATAAAATATCATTGTATCATGTTTGAAAAAAAATATCAAATTTGTCAATGCCATTGCATTTCTTGTCATTAACTGTTTAATGCTTATCATTACCAGTTCATAACTTGTCATTCCCAATAGATTTCTCATCATTTATTATTCTACACTTGTCATTGTCAGTTCAGAACTTGTTAGTAAACTTTTTGATATAATGGTATTTTAGTTATTTAACTATATTTATAAAATAACAGATCAAGTATCATTTTTTTTCTTTATCATTTTCAACTCTTAGGTACATGATTTAAAATATCATATTTTCTAGCTTTTTTATTTGTCATTTTTCCTGTAAAAAACTAAAATCCCTCGTACAAGTCACAATTTAAAAAAAAAAAAATATTTGAGTGGTACTATAAAGTCTTCACCCGTAGTTGCGCTCCTCTGGCGGTCGGAAAAATTACAGGCATTTATATGGACAGAAAGAAAGAAATCAAATGAACATTAGTTCATTAAATTTATAAAGAAAACAATAATACCTTCTGTCCTTAATATAAAAACTAGTTGATTAATTTGAGTGGATTAAGAAAGTTTGTTAAGTTAGTTACTTATAATAATTATATTTTATCTTTTCTAAAATATTCTTACTAATCATATATATTAATTAGAACTATCATTTGATAAAACATTTAACAAGTGAAACTATAAGAACTACTTTTAAAAAATGAATAAATATGATGACAAAATAAATTTTAGTCTTATATTTAAAACCAAACTAAACATTAAACTGGTTATTATATTACGGAACAGAGGTAGTAATATTTTTTCAGTATGATTCTTATTAAGTTCACACATGCATACTGAACTTTACTCTTTCATACCTGTTTGAATTTGAGTTGACCATGGAAAATTAGTTTTGAGTTTCATGAGTATTTGAGATCACCTGACTTTTGATCACTGTTATTTAAAATTATAGAATGATAATTAGTACAAAATTATTGATTAGTTAATGAAGGTGATCACCAAAATGAGCAAATTAAAGAAGCCGAGTCATTGTATGAAGGTTGGTATTCTAAATTCTAAGGCGATGCCCCTTGCACGCTGCATTTCAATATACTCCCACATAATAATATATTTGGTGTTTTTAATTTGATACTGACAAAAATCACACAACTTCTCAGCTTCTTGTTCTACTTTTTATTAAAGACGTTTTCAATGAGTCATCGGCAATGTCAAAGTCATTGGAGTGTGTATGGCAATTGATGCTGCACCGTCAATGTGAAAGCAAGTTATTACGACAAAATATAATAAAAAATACCACTCTCATCACACCCATCTTCAGTTCATTTGTCTACACAAAGCGATCATAAAATGAGTGCGTCGACGGAGTCTTTATATATAAAGCAATATTATTGAATCTCACTTCTACGTATCAAAGTGGTGGGAGTGTGTAGATCCAATGGCAAATTGACATAATCATATCGTGTGAGGTTGCCTCAGTTGTCAATCAATGCTCTTGGTCAATATTAAAGTCTTTAGTTTTTGAGTTATTATAGTGAAAATGGACGTGAGATTGCCAAACATGAGATGATGAACACCACAGTATAGTGATCCCATGAAACTCTGAATTAAATAACCCATTGTTTTTAACTTTTAGGATTATATTTTGAAAGACGCGTGACATATCAAATTATAGAACTATACCTTTTCTTACCAATAGTTGCTCTGAACCAGAGCATGTTTCTCCTCTGCTATCATGGAGGTGGCAATATTGGGGAAGAAAGTAGTGGCAGAGTATAGTTGTAAAATCACTATTACTATCCCAGTGCTTATTGTTGGAGTAGTTGACATTAATATTGGAGAATGCCTACTAATTCATGCAAAGTGATCACCAAATGAGTGCAGAAACTGATTCTTTATAGGAGCATAAATTCATTTTTCTTAAAACAAAATTACAACTTTTAAGTGACATATAAAGAAACGAGTTAAATAAATTTGACTAACAAAAATTTAAAAAACAGAAAGTAAATAAAATAAAAGCTTGTTTGATATTATGCTAAACTTTTATGTTGTTACAGCTACTTTTTAGAATAAGTTATGAATACAAAAAATAAAAAAAAATGTTAGAATGATTATTTCAAAATCCATACATAAAATGGTGAGGTGAAGGGTAAAAACTAGTTTGTTTTATTAACCTGATCATAATTAACAAAAATATAATATTCTTCATCTTTTCCCGAATTTTGTAAAACAAAAGGCAGCAAAATTGAAAAATCTTTTGATTTTTTTTTGTTTTTAGAACAAATTTTAATTTTTTTATGGAAAAGCTTATTAAAAATACCACTATCATGCCCATC